CTATGAAAGCATTTGGTCACAGATCATCTAAGCGTGCTGGACAATATCAAAGAGGAACAGTTATTGGTTTGTTTATCTTCACCTTTCCACAGGAGGACATTTCAGAAAGTTAATTTGTTCAATGTCTTAACACCAGCAACCTATGCCCAAAATTCATCTACCAGCAAGGACCCAGCCAAACTAGACGAGGACGAAGCCCGCCAAGATGAACTTCCTTGGGTAGTGGACTTTCATGCTGAAAGGACATGTTCATTATCTCTATTTGTGTATGATTCCAACAAGAAGCTGGCCGAAGACACTGATGCCCCGTCGTGGGGATCAAAAGAGCCGGTGCCTGGTAGCAAAGAGTGGGAGAAATCACCCAATGCCCAAGTCTTTGGGGACAAGGCTTTTGTGGGATCCAATGTGATTGCTACCACTGGAGGATTCCGCAACGGAGTTCATTGTGACTTTGATGCCACCGGATTTGCTTCGGGTTTCTTCTGCTTAATTGATGCGAACACATGTTGAGTATTTAATATTCACAGTCTTATGACCAATCTGCTGACATATGTAATCTATTACAGCTGAAATTATTACTCCGGCAAGAAGACTCAAACTTTTGGCCGAGAGGAAGGAAGAAATTGAACTAGAGAAGAAGACTGGACACCGCATTGATAAGAAGCATCCCCAAGTTGGTGCCAAGTTTGTAATTCACATCAGTAACTATTTCAAGTTTATTGTAGACATCAATGCAGCTGATGTGGTAGAATTACTGTGGGCAACAGATGTTTGCCACAACACCAAACATTTTTTATTTTCTGAAGGAGAAAAAAAAAGACAACATACTTGCAGGGTGCTGTAACAAGGGAAAAAACCAAGGCAAGAAAAGGGATTGGAAAGAGTAAAGGGGCAGTAGACCATGTACTTGCTTATGCTTGTAGCACTCAGATCAGTACCACTGTGGTGGCAGCAATGAAGGAGATTATGGAACAGCGGGTTGGTTTGGATGATGAGAGCTGGGAAAAATTGCACAGCGGCCTTGCAGAGACCTACGATAAGCAGATGCAACGGAAACGGGCCAATTTGGACCATCTTCAGAATAAGATTACTTCTTATAAGGAAACAAAAGGTTCAGCACTCAGATTTTTAAAATGATATATACATGTTTTTTTTTGTTTTTAAGATGATAATTTTGTGAGCAAAGGGATTTTGTAAATTTTTGATTTTTTTAAGAGCAACAAATTTTGGAATACAGATTGAAAGGAAAGAATTTACTCCTGAATTTCTGCCTTGTGCTAATCTCTTGCTGGAATATGAGTCTGTTCCCCAGACTTACCTCCATACAACAGCTCCATCTCCTCCCGTAGACTTAATTTTGCTACCTTTGGCGGTAGCAACCCCAGGTGCTTGCATATCTTGTTGCATTCGTGCTGGGTAGAGAAGTTCTCCAAGCCTTTCCTTCCAGTATTTCTGTCGCACCAAGCCATACTGGGGCCAAAACAAACCGTCAGGCAAAATGTTGGAATGCAAGCACAAAAGTACTTACTTGCTCGTATCCACAATCAAAGGGTCTGTCAAAACCAAACCTACCCCCTGAAGATCCGCAACCATTCTTCTTCCGCCATAGTGTTTATGAGACCAATGACTGAGAGCTTGCATTACTTCATTGACTAAAGGACTGTCTGAAGGCCGGAGTTCAAAGTTGTGATTGCTGGTATACTTGCGGTATTGTGTAACATCAAGTACTTCTTCAAAGAAATAAGCACATTCTGTTGTAGCACTGCTTCCTGCATAGACCGGAAAGTTTTGAACCATCTGGAAAATAAAAACATGTTATCGAGAAAGCTTGAATAAAATGAGATCCATATATTTGACTCACACGAATGTTTTGGATAGCTTCAACCGTTGCAGGGAAAAGTTGAATTTCATTCAGACCCAAAGCGGCTTTCTTAAACTTTTCAATCACCATGGAAACAGCAGCATACACTCCACCGGATTCTTTATGGACAGCCAGATGAGTCATATTGGGAGGCAGCTCCCTCACCACCAGGTGTTCTTCCAAAGGCATTGTAACATGTCCTGAAAGAACTTTTTCCAATCACCACACTTTCATCAACTTTGAAATGATACGGTGTTACCACCCATTCAGGTTTACCTTCTGCATTTCCTGTCAAAATGCATTTTTTCCCAACGGTGAAACCGTCTGTAGTCTCAGCAGGTGGAACAGGGCGAGCCATGGGAAGCTTTCGACCAAATACGGAGATATCAATAGCCTCTCTGAAATCAAAGGCCGGTACTAAGGAGGGCATGTCAGCCAGACCAAAAATGAGTAGTGAACAAGAGCGGTGAGCTTACCTGTCTGGTGAGGTGGTATCACATGAGTCATAGCTACAGGAGCCACATCACTCTGAGCACGGTGGGGAGATTTTCGTGGGGTGATGGGTGGCGGGAGTGTGTATGTACTATTCTTGGTTTTAAAATTAGAAGCCTTCTTTTGAGTGACTCGTGGTGAGGTGACTTTTGTTGAAGTTGAAGGTGTACACCTGGCTTTCTTGCTTGGCTGGAATATTTCGACACTCAAAGGCAGATCACCATCACTATCACTATCACTATCACCATAATCCGCTTCTTCATCTCCATCATCTAATAACATCTCCTCATAAGTCAAATGTTGAGATGCCTTTCTTTTAGCTTGTCGTTGAGGTTGTACCGGCTTACTGGTGGAAGGTCGAAGCCAAGGATTATTTTTGACATATTTGTCAGCCAGAAAAATTAGCTCGAGGCTAGGTTCTCCTTTAGTGTCATCAAGATATCTGGCAAAAACTTCATTGTTATGTAAGACCACAGGTGATTTCCGGCCACGGCCGGTTTTGGCCAGGTTGAAATACTCAGAGTTGTAAACTTTGGGTGCCTGAGGGTAAAGAGGAGAGTCAACCGAGTGGTCCCACAGGTTGAAGATGCCTTCCTTGGTGTCGTCCAAGAGTGTCAACGATGACCTATCCACAGTGAAAGTTCCCCGAAGTAGACCATGAGCAAAAGAGCCGGTGTCGTATATCACCATCCATCCTACAGAGCATACTCGGCCAGTGTGAGTAGTGAAAGGTGGAGGTTTAGGTGCTGCTGGGTGACCATTAAACATGCGGTTGCTGCTAGCTTGTTTCTTGGCAGCAGCTTGCTTTGACTTGTCGCTTTGAAGTTGGTGAACATGAGTACCAGTGGAAGTCGAGGTACGGGCTGCAACAGCTGCTTTGGCATTGATGACCTTGAGATTGGCAGGGCGGGGTTGAGAAGCTTGGGTGGGTGCCTGCTGGGGGGGAGAAGGAACCTGTTTGTTTCGGTCCGCATTGATGTTTTCAAGGCAGGGTGCACATATTTTGTGTTCGCCTTGACGGAGAGTACTTTGACATAAGGGACAAGTAGGTTGGTTCATGATAGTGAAATATGAGTATCTGAGAGAAACCAAAGTCGAAGAAGAAGCTGATTGAAGAAGATTGAGGTCGATCAAAGAAGATTGAAGTCGATCGGAGAAGGTTGAAGTCGATCGAAGAAGATTGAAGAAGATTGAAACTGATTCAAGAAGAAGAAGCTGATTGAAGAAGATTGAGGTCGATCAAAGAAGATTGAAGTCGATCGGAGAAGGTTGAAGTCGATCGAAGAAGATTGAAGAAGATTGAAACTGATTGAAACTGATTCAAGAAGATTCAAGAAGATTGAAGAATATTGAAGAGGATTCAAGAAGATTGAAGAAGATTGAAGAAGATTGAAACCGATTCAAGAATATTGAAGAAGATTGAAGAAGATCGAAGAGAATTGAAGAATACTAGGGAACAATGAAGCCAATACAAGAATATTGAAGAAGGGTGAAGCCGATCCAAGAATATCAAAGAAGATTGAAGACAATCAAAGAAGGATGAAGAAGAGTGGAGACGATCAAAGAGGTTCAGTGTAGTGTAGAAGAGTGAAGACGATCAAATAAGGATGATGAAGAGTGGAGACGATCAAAGAGGTTCAGTGTAGTGTAGAAGAGTGAAGACGATCAAATAAGGATGAAGAAGAGTGGAGACAATCAAAGAGGTTCAGTGTAGTGTAGGTTTGGTTGAACAAGTGGATGGGTGGAGACTATAACAAAAGTTGGAGGAATGACTAAGATGATTGGTGATGGTGTGTGGGTTGTGTGATTGGTTGAGAGGTCGAGGTAGAGAGGTACACTTTTCATCATCTAATGTGAAGTTTTCATTTTTGGGGTCTTTGTTTATGGTTTGTTAATTGTCGTTTTTTGATTATCGACATTTGTTTTTTGATTTTCGACTTTTGATTTTTTGATTTTTTGATTTTTGAATTTTGATGTCCTCTTTTGTGGTTTCCTGGTACTTTTTGTGTCAATGCGACAATGGGGTGACAAATGTTGAGTTTCAAGTTGTAAATCTACTGAAATTTGGGCCGTAACCTGGTCTGAAAGGGGTTTCTGCCATGACTTTTACTCCGGTACAGGGGTTTTTGCCCTGTATTTGAGTATTTTCTGTAGTTTTGTCTTTGATTTTTGAATTTCGCACCCGGGAATTGTGATTTTCGTTTTTTGATTTTTGCATTGTCACCTTGACACCTCTCGCATTCCGTAAGTTACCATTGCCCCTCCTCGCAAATTGATTCTTGCAGTCTATCTCACAAATATCACATCATCGGTGCCTTTTCACTTCACTGCAAGTTCACCTTTTCATGATTGTCTCGTGCTCCTCTACAACCCAACTTTTGCACCTTCATCAACTCGCTTTGTTCATTCTGTTTTCCTTTGATTTAGATGTCAACACAAAGCACCACATCCTCTTCACCCACTCGGTATAACAGGGGCATGAATGGAAGTAATGGAAAGAAAAATCATCCATTCATAACATCCGGATTATTTGACGTTCTATCTCAAGTAGGGTTCTTGAACATTCCTAAACTTATGCTATACATATAAATAACTCCTCTTTTAGATTGAAACAGAATTGACTGGACAGTACGGGTTTTGCAAATGTATGACTACAAGTGTTGTTACCAATTGCAACACTGAAGAAGTTCTTGAGTTTGCCATCAAGGCTTCTGCATTCATTGGCCCAGATCTCATCTTGACCGATTCAACAGTCTATTACTTGAAAGGCAGAATCTTAGCTCTTAACCATGATGACCTCCAAGTCTTTTACTACAAGCCCGATAACAGTATCTGATATCCCCATCTGAATCTTTTAGATCTGAACTTGCCAATAAGGTTTCCATGACTGGTCTGGGATTGACTACTTTGCAAGAGGTCGAAAACGTCAGCCCTGGCAGGGACAATGTCATCATCATTGTTCAGCATTCTGATTTCAACCCAGCCATATGTGACACACACCCTTTAAACTTCTTTTGCGTGATTTGCTAACCATATTGTTCCTGTAGATTTGAGACCAAGATACTTTCGAGGTCGAGTATAGATGTAATTGGTCTCCGCTTATGGCTAAATTACAAAGCCTTCTCGTTCCCCATCGCAAAGCGCTTCTCACAGGTCGTATCACGTGATACATTCCATCTCGCAACATGGGGTCTGTTGAGGTGAGGTTTTCTCAATGACGTCAATCAATTTTTACACTCAGACGTTATTAATGGCAATGGCTTGTCTTATTCTAGGTGACTGGCATCAACATCACCACCGGGCATGAGTTGGGCCAAACTTCAGCTTTGCCCAACTCATGCATCTTTTGGTACTCCGGGTGGTTGAGCTAGAGGAAAGCTGTATGTCGATTTTGTCTTGTCATCATCATCCATGTAGCCTTGTCCTGATTTTCGATTGTCTTTCCCTTCAGTTTTGTCTCAGGGGGTGGAGTGAAGAAAAATAACGTTCCGCTACCTACCAATAGCGGTGATGTCATCAATCATGCAAATGCGTCCCCTTCCAAAGGAAAGGGTAAAGCATCTTTGGTAGCAATTGCCGCTCGACCAGCTGGGAAACGCAGCAAGCCAAACGGGTCTGACGTTGAATAAATATTAGATCTTGCGCAAACAGTTTTCCTCAAGTTTGTTGTTGTCAATGAGCGGCTTCTGCTTATACGTTCACCCTTACAATCTACCTTGACGTAGCAAAGCTTTTGTGTCTAAATGCCTTGAAAAATCCCTGTAATCAACCATTCAACATCTACATCTCTGTCTTTAGTCATTGCTGATTAAAATCTCTTCTCCTCAATTCCTTATCTTTCCTAGAGATTCCCTTGAATGTAGTGACTGAATTAGGTCTTAGAAGTTTGCATTGGGCCACTTACACATTGCTTCTTGTGAATTTCTTAAGCTACAACAATTTGAGTGCTACCAGGAAGCGAGTAGATACAATGAAGTTAAAAAACCGAACTAGGTACTGTGCTAGGTTGAGGAATAGCCTAAACCTAGGAAACGGAGAATCTTTCCTAATCATATCCTTAAATTTGTGCAACCCTGATGTCCGGAAGACCTTGATGTTGCAAACAAATGCTGTAAGTATAATGTTTCAAATCAGTGGCATTGGTGAAACGCCCGGTCTGAAATATGGGTCTTGGCTGTCCTTGTGATTCTGGAGTCAATACAATTTAGCGTCATGTAAATTGCGCAGACAAGGAAAACTCACCGTTGATGAAGTCGAAGAGCATCTGACCCAAAAACTCTGGGTCTACGGGATGTTCAACCATAGCAAAAGTATTCCACCGAAGTCTTCCAAAACCTTGCACATAAGTTGAATCAACTGATTGTGTAATGGGCATTTGAATAGAGTGACTTTGATAAATAGGAAGATGATAATTGTATGTTGTCAATTGATGAAGGTTGATTGAAGTTAAGACTGTGATTGTTGAAGAATTAATGAGCAGTATCAAAAGTATATGTTCGTGATGTTCCTATGATGGGTTGAAAGTAGTACAATTTATAAAGCTTGCTATGACTTTTTATCCGGTGTTTTATTCGCCATATACGGCAATTGAATTGCATCGGCATTTATTATCAAAAATCATATGTGTTTCTTAAAAGCAGTCAATAGTGGAATTTTGCCCGTGCATACAAAGGAATGCCATAAGTGTCATTGCATGAAAAAGGCGGCCAGAGTGGCAATTGTAGTCTTGCTTCTCAAGTGGCGCGCAGCAGAAAATGCTGATATCCCCGTGCTTTATTGTTTCTACATTTCCCTCATCGAGAAGCATGTGATCTTAAAATGTGAATTGACTACTCCGGTTGTAATAGACTTGAAACAATCAATCTCAATTGCAAAGCCGGGAGATATACGCCTGTCTTCCAACTTCAGAAAGTGCCACTTCCACACCTTTTGAAAAAGTATCACAACATAGTCAATTGTAAAAGCTTTGGTTAATGTACGTGTGTTCTGTCGCTGCTGTGCCTTTGTTAAAGAGGTCAGCAGTCGTGATACTGCATTGAGATTTGTAATACATCAATATCCAATTGAATCTATCTACTAATCTTGAAAACTTGCTTCTTACATCTCTCAATTGCAACACTCAACAATTCTCTTTTTACTCTCACATTAACATACCCTCCATTTACACCGTAAGGCTACATTCAATAGATAAACTAAATCTTTTCAACCTTAAAATCTTCCCGCCATGCCTACAAATTTCGTCAGATTAGCTGCTCCCACGGCAATGGACAACAACAAAGCTTTGCTTTTGAATTGTTTTCCAGGACAACTACCGTACCTTCTTGGTCGCATGTCCCATGTTTGTAAGCACTGAAAGGCTCTTCGATGGGGACAGAAGAGGACAAAAGAAAATGTGAAGGACTGAAAGGAAATATATATGGACTGTTGTCAGTATGGAGACGTCACATTACCAATGGCAGAATTTGATGGACCACCACTTCCTCCTGAACTCTATGAGCTGTTCACTTCTTCGACAAAAGGTACGCCAGCTGCCTGATGCATATCCGTAGAATTCGAGTTGCTCTCTTTTTTTTAGAGGCGGTAGCGTTTCAGGATAATATCACTTCCTATAATAATGCCATGGCTTTTTCATCACTAGGTTGCACCCAGGATTGAAGCGTTATGGGCCAAAAGGGGGTAGGCACTTTCAAGGTGTCAGGCCAACTATCTCACAAAATTCCGGCCTTGTACCCTCACGGTGATGATGCAGTGCGATTTGCACAGATTTTCATGTTGGGCGATGGCGGAGAGAAAGAGGTAGAAAATAGATTAATACATTTCAAGGAAGGAAAACTTAAACCAGGCATTGTCTGAAAATTGCAAGACGTGATGCATCGAGTCAATCTGTATGCCAAAGTATTCAGGAATGCAGCTGAAATCCTGGGGAAAAAATTGACCATTGTTTTGAAATCTCTGGCACCGGTAATTGTCAAGCGAAGACGTACAATAAACCAAGGCCTGAAGATATTGCTGCCATCATTGAAGAAACTTCAGATTTCATTGATCCTAAACCCAGGCATATTAAAGTTAGTCGCAAGGACGGAAAGATTATATACCTCACCGATTTGGATACACCTTACCTCTTGCTTTGTTATCCACTTCTGTTACCATATGGGTCACAGCAATGGGATGATAAATACGTGTCCCCTACAAAGGGAACTAACCCTGGTCATAAGTTGTGCCACACCCTCAGGTTCATTTTCAATATACTGATATTTTATACTTCTTTTGATTGTCAGGGAAACATGAAGAATACAAAGTCACAAATCTCGAATGGGGTTCATGGCTTATCTTCAAGAGAGAGAACAAATTCAACCCGTTTATTCATGGAAGACGTCTATCTCAACAATTGATTGTTGACTTGTACTTATGCGTAGAGAGATCAAAGTTGGACTTCATCAGGTTCAATCAAAAAAAGATTAAATCCAAACTTTATCAAGGTATAAATTTAAAGAAGCCTTTAATGAGAATCAGAGGGCGCCAGGGAAACAAATCATCTTACCATCATCTTTCAAGGGTGGGCCTCGCGACATGAATCAATTATTCCACAATGCCATGGCACTCGTCCGCAAATTCGGCAATCCAAGTCTTTTCATCACGATGACCGCAAATCGAAACTGGAAATAAATACAAGATGAATTGAAGTACGGCGCAACAGCACAGGACCGGCCAGACATTGTAGCCAGAGTATTCCGCTTAAATTGCAGAAACTGATAGAAGAAATTGTTGACCACCAACGTCTCGGTGTTGTCATCTCAAACTTAATGGTGGTAGAATTCCAAAAACGCGGCCTTCCTCATGCGCACTTATTATTTAGTGTGGACGAGAAGTCAAGGCCGGTGACAGCGGAGGATGTGGATTTTCTTGTCACTGCGACGCTTCCTGATCCTATCAAAGAATCAAAACTATAGGAGTTGGTCACATCCCATATGTTGCATGGTCCATGCCGCAAGGGTATGTCATGTTATCAAGAGGGACGATGTCGACTCTCTTTCCCAAAACCTACATGCAAAGAATCATGTCTCCCTGATGATTCTTTTCCATCATACAAGAGGCCAAACAACGGGAGAAAGGTGAAGAAAAACGGTGCTATTTTCACTAATGGGCATGTCGTCCCATACAACAAATACCTCTTGTTACTCCTGGAATGCCACATTAACGTGGAAATTCCAGTGGGAACTAAACCAATTTGATACTTATACAAATATCTGACTAAAGGTCATGATCGAACCAAAGTGTATATGGAGGTGACAGTGACAGATGGAAGTGAGTATTCATATCAGCCCGCACAGACCCAGTGTTTCTACATCTAACGCCGAATTTCTCCACTGTTTGATAGAGAAGATATTTGTCCATGATGAATTATTAGAATTCCAAAATTATCAATATATCAGCGCTCCAGAAGGTAAATTTGAGTATCTTTTGCTTTAAGAAGAGAGTTATATTTATACTGGATATTGCTCGCCTTCTCCAGCCGCATATAGGTTAATGAAGTTACCAATGAACTTGTCTTTTCCACCCGTTATGCGTCTACCGCTCCATCTTGAACATCAACAAACGATTTACTTCTTTGATGAGAACGAGGCTATCTCTCGGGTTGAGACACGGCTGCCGCCGACGTCGACTCTTACAGAATTTTTCAGGTTGTGCAAAGACGGAGAAATGGGTTTGGATGACGTGCTGACAAAGAATTTATTATATGCAGAAGTTCCACAATACTTCCGATGGTTCAAAGGCAAATTCCAGAAACAAATCCAACCCAAGTTGACAGTGGGAAGGGTATATTATGCCAATTTGACGGATGGAGACAAGTATTATTTGCGCATGTTACTATGCTGCATACGAGGTCCAACTTCTTTCAGGGATTCAAGAACTGTAAATGGATACGAATGCTCTACCTTTCGTGAAGCGGCGGACAGCCTGGGTCTTCTGGCTTCAGATAAACATCATTTGACTGCAATGTCTGAAGCATCACACTGGTCGTCATCTAAACAACTACGGCATTTACTCGCATTGATATTAGTCTACGGTGAAGTCGCAGCGCCCGATTCACTATGGAACGGCTTCGCAGAAGAATTAACGGAAGATTGCGAAGCTCGTTTGATCAAGTTGGGCGCGAGGTTGCCTACACTACACCAAATGACATCTTTACCCAGGGGTATAGAAAAGTAGTGCGGGCATAGAAAACTATGGGTGAAGTACTTTTTTATACCCATAGAGATAGTATCCTCTAAGCCTAGACAAACCATTCTATTCTATACCTACAGTTGAACATATCCACATGACCACAAGGACTGAATAGCAATCTAGAATCAAAGCCCTTCTTGAGTCTTGGCCAATGGGAAAGCATGGTCCATCAGTCATATTGTACGTATGTAAAAAGTGTCTGTCAATCTGTGTAAGATTGTGCATACATACTCACATACATTGCTGAACATGGTTGAGGATCTCTTTTATCAGCATAGAATTGTATTTTAGGATAAAGATATCAAAAAACAGAAGATTGAGATTTTACACACTGTAGCACTGCCTTTGGGGCCACTAAATACAGCTGAGTCAGCGCAAAGATAATGCTCAATTTCCCAATCTT